CTCTCTCTCTCTCTCCCTCTCCCTCCCTCTCTCTCTCTCTCTCTCTCTCTCTCTCTCTCTCTCTATATATATATATATATATATATATATATATATATATATATATAATCAATCTATATCTATCTATATCATCTATCTGTATCTCTATCTGTATCTCTATCTATCTATATCAATATCTATCTCTATCTAATCTATCTATCTATCTATCTATCTATCTATCTATCTATCTATCTATCTATCTGGAAAAAACAAGACTGTACTCCTCAAAAGGGACAGGTGCTGTGTTTATTTCATTAGCTGCTAATTATTTTTAAATCTATGTACTAGGACTCCCGCTAAAATCTTTTTAAATTGTTTTATCACCATTTATTTTTATTCAAGTAACTATCAAAGACCAGGAATATTTAAATTGTTCCTCCAGGACATAAAGGTTATCAGTGAAATAATAATAGCAGTACACTGATAATTACTAAATGTATCACACAAGCCAGACTCACTGTAAATCATTTTCTATCACTGAATTCAGTTGAACCCCAGAACAAACTTGTTAAAGTATTTCATTAATGAGGTGACAGGCACAGATATAAACAGGTTCTGATAGTATCTGGAAGAACTAAGATTTAAATCCTGGTAATATGTTCTAGAGTTTATATTTTTAACCCATGCCTCCAATCTCAAATCTCATATAGTTTATGTATATGGCCATCATGGCTAGAACATATAATAGAGATACTGAATACATTATAAGATCATTATAAGATATATGACCAAATAAATGGTACCATAAGCCTACACGGCAGGCTGAAGGGGCAATCAGATATTCTCATGTGGCTGGATAGGAAATCAGGACCCAGTCACACTATCACACTATCATCAGCTTTATAATGCAAGTATCTCACAGGAACATTGTCTCATGATTTGCTCCTTTATTATTCAAGGGATCTTTGGATTGTATTCACTAAGCTAGACCTAGTTCCCAGGGTGTTCAGAAATGAATGAAAAAAAAATGAGCTTGCTACTCTCCTTTGGGTAGATTGTCATAGGAAGTCTGTAGATAGTTCAGTGGAATGACTGTCAAGAATTTCATGGTGAGGAGAAGTCTAAGAAAGGCCATTGTAATGTTCTTCCTTTCCTCTACACTAGGAGTATATCACTGTAACCCAGAGAGAATGTGTCAGCACATATTCTCTACTGTTCTTGTCACTGCTCAGCTCAAAGCTTCATGAAAAGGCATTTTTATCACCCTCAACTTCTAGCCCAGGACAGGGATGAGGACAACTGTGTGCTGATAAACTGATTGTCCAATGACCAGCTGGATAAGATGGTATATGATTTATGTATGAATAGACTCCCCTTAAGAGATGAGGTTGCAAGATTAATATGACCAGCTAATTTCTCTGATCTTCTACAAACTCACTTGTGGCATTAGAAATATGAATTCAATAAAACATTGCTTAACTTTTTCAGGGACATGGTCTGTTGATAAGCCAATATCTGCTTTTATTCTTGATTTCACAAACACTGTCTGATACAATATTGTTGGAACTACCTGAAGAACCCAGACCTCAGATCTGGAAGGAAATAATTTTGTCCTTTTATTTGACCTAAAATTCTTGACTTCAGTGGTAAAAGTAAGGAAAAGAAATTGTTGAAGGAGTAAAGAAATTGTGTTGGATCCATGTCTAGCCACTTCTGATCCTTGTACATGTGCATAGTTGTGTACCCTTCATACTCATTGTGGTGGTTAATCAGAATTGTCACCGTGGCATGATCTAATGTCTTTGTGCTGACTAATGGGCATATTTATGCAAGATTTCAAGATTAGGTTAGCAGAGCTTAGAAACCTTCTCTAAATATAGGCTATATTATTTCTTAGGGTTTTGGATATCCTTAGCTAAATAAGAAACAGACAAAAGACTGAGTGCCATTATTCACTTCTCTCTGTGTCCTGATTGCAAATGCAGTGTGATTATTCATCTTAAATTCTTGACACTATGCCTTCTCTGTCATTAAGAACTATATACTCAAGCTCTGAGCCAAAAGGAACTTTTTGTTTTTTAAGTTGCTTCTTGCAAGTATTTTTTTCCCACAACAAGAAAAATAGCCAATCAGACTATCTTCCTAATCTTTATGTTGGACCATGGCTTATGCTGCAATAATGACAGTGATGACCAGAGATGATGCTGCTTGATTGTGAAAAGAATTCAGTATAGTATGAAACCAGACTAATCAGTCACCAATACAGGGAGATTTAATTATTAGTAATTTTAACTTTTATTCTGATCTGAGTTTTTGAATATCTTACCTTCAAATTAACATCTTGCTAATAATTTTAGGAGATATATGAGAAATCAGATAGAAACCAATAACTTCAAAACATGTTTGTCATATTTAACTATGCATAATACACACACACACACACACACCACACACATATCTGCATTTTTTTCTACTGATAGACTTGGAAAAATTCTGCTTTCATTTTTATTTAAATTACACTGAGATGGGTTTCAGAGACCACTTGAGATAATATTACTCTGTGAGGTAATATTATAATATGCAGGTGCTTTTTTATCTTATTAAAAATATTAGCATTTTCTCCTTTAATCATGTGGGTTCCTGCCTCTCCACACTCCTGAGAATCATCTCCTGTACCTGTCCACAAGGGCCAATGGAGCAGGGGCAGCTGATGTGGAGTTCAGAAGCCCTGCAAGTACTAGTCGAAATGACAACACTACAAGATAAGCTTCAGAGAGGCAGATCAATTTTATTCAGATTGAATGATATTTATATAAAACTTTGGGCTTGTAATTTCCTAAGGACTACATGACAATCCTCAGGTATATGATATGGAATCTGGGAATCTCCCCCGGGAAGAGAAGAGGAAACCTAACATACAAAAGGAATTGATCATTTGCACTGAGCTCAGGGCTTTCTGGTAAGGTCAAACTTTGACCTTAGCATCAGGGTTCCCAACATATTCTAGGATTTAACTTAGGTCATCAGGTTTGGTGTCAAGGGAGTTTATACACTGAGACATTTTACTAGCCTAGAATACACACATGCACACACACACTCACACACACACACAAATATATATATGTGGGTATGTGTGTATGTATACATTTATTATACATTTCAACACAAACAGTAGCTGAAGACAGAGTTTTGCTGTTTTCTTGAATACCGAGTGTTTGTGCTTAGTAAGTAATATTTGGCGTTATGATGATGGTAAACTATAAACCATTACATGATAGTTTTGTGTTTTTTAAATTTAGTATCAATTTGAATTTTTTAAAAATAGGTACAGCACACAGGAATCAGTGCACTGCTACAAAGTACAAACAAATTGGACACTGACCTGTAGTTAACATTCCATCATCATTCATTAACTTGTGATAATACAGCATAACATTGACTATGAGTTTAGTGAATGAAAAGGCTGCAAGGCCTAATTTTTTATTACATATAGATTAAGGTTATTATGTCCACAATAGGGAATCCTTAGCATTCAACATGCTTTCCAGAGTCTGATAAAGTTAGGTATAAAAGATTTTTATTTTACACCAATATTACAAGAGTCTTTGAACTATAAAAAAAGTAAAAAGTAACACAGAGACACTTTCTTTCCTATGTGTAGTCTGAAACTACAAAGGAAACACTTAGCTGCTGACCTTTCTGCTGTATACTCACACAAACCCCTCCACCATTACTTCCTATAAATGGACTTGTCTCCTTTTGTTGAACTCTCAAATTTCCAATATCTGTGGTTAAAATGTTTGCTTAGCTTTCAAGGGTATCTCATGCAGTTACATTACTGTGATCTTGTCAATCAGCTCACTCAGACTATTAGAAAACTTCCGCATAGACAAGGGTATAGGGGTGCCAAGGACAAACTCAAGCAGCTGTGGCAAGAGCAGAGTATGAGCCAGGTAGGTACAGGTAATGAAGATCATTCAGTGTAAAGGACTGAAAAGCAACTGAGAGTCAAAAATATGTTTAACATTGCATTTGTTTACTTATCTGTGTGTTTGTCTGTGTCCATTCATGGATACGCTGGTACACATGTGTACCTCATTCATGTGTGTGCATGTTTATGGAGACACTAGAGGAGAACCTTAATGTCGTACCTCAGGATGTCTCCCAACTTGTAGTGTGAGGCAGTTTTTTCCACTGACTTAAAAGGATTTTCTTTGTCTCCCCCAAACTAGGATTATTATCACCTACAACCACACCACATCTGCTTTTTTAAATTTTTTTACAAGAAATGTGAAAAGTTCATATTTTTTTTGTTTTTTTTGTTTTTTTGTTTTATTTTGTTTTGCTTGCAGAGTAAGTTCTTCACTGTCTGAGCCCTCTCTCAAGCCCTCTATACTTGTTTATTGCTTTATAATCATCCTTCACTGGTAATTTTAAGAAACCTTAATGATATATCACTCCATAACCAAAGGCACACATACACATGCACACATCCTAAAGTCCTTGTTAATTTTTAACAAAGTACAATTGACCCTTAAATGAATACATTTTATGACTTAACACTTAGTAAATATTATATCCTGGAGAACAGTTAATTTAATTAATTCCACTTACTCCACTGGCACCATGAAAAATCAGGTGAATGTGATTGGTTTTACGAGTAAGAAAGCATCTTCTAATCTGAATGTATATAAACATAGGTGTCAGCACTAGTGTTAAAAGAACTCAAGCCATTGCAAACTCCTGGTAACTTTGTTCAGCTTTTACCAAATAGCAGAGAAATCTGTGATGTATTCTGGGTTAAGATATTTTTTGGGAAGATTTTTGGTCATTTGAACATTTTTGACACTCTTAAAATTTTTGGACTCTATTATAAAAATGATGTGCTTTAGCAAACTTGTCCTTGTGTTAAAAAATCTTACTAAACCTTTTGAATAACTGTAAGTTTTTATGAAAAAAATATCTTATTGAAAATGAATAAAATATAAAAAACAATCCTCTAGGTGTAATAGAAGATGAACAAATACAGAAAATCAACTTTAGCAAAGTCATTGTTAACGTTGAGGAAATACTTGTAAAGTTATTGTTACCCAAACAGATGAAAACATTATTTTTCCATTTTATAAAACTGAATTAATTATTGTATTTTTTGGTACGTTCATGCATTTTTGTTAGTATGCTGACATGCAATATTTTAAAGTAGAAAGTCTTCCCATCCATATTTCTTTAGTCCTCATTTGGGTTCATGATCATCATTTCACAGATAGGGGCAAGGCTCTTACAAAGGTATTTTTCATGTATCTAGACCAGCACACATTCTGCTGCTGTAGAAAGAGAGAAGTGGCATAAATTGTCACTGACTAGTTATACTCTTCTATTGGTTGGAGATAAGAAATTGTGTGCATGCTTCTGTGTGTGCTTGAACATGTATGAGTGTGTATGTGTGTGTGTGTGTGTGTGTATCTGTGTTACTTGGTCATGCTTGCCAGAGGTCGGTGTCCGTGTTCTACTCAATTATCCTATGCCTCATTTTGGAACAGAGTCTCTGCTAGACGAGCAGCAGTGCTCGGCTTGTCTGTGCCTCCTCTGTCATGGGCATTCCTAGCTATGCTAAATGGTTTCTGAGGAACTGAACTCAGGTACTCAATGCTTACATGAAAGTCCTTTACTGGTTGAATTATCCTCCTGGCTCATAAAATATGGACTTCTGAAGCATGGCTATAACAAAAAAATGGATCCTGAATATGAAGGGAGTGGTGAATAGTAGTCATCCATGCTCCTCATAGAGTGTAATGTTAGGGTGTGGTAGCTTAAATTGACAGCTAAGAAATAACCACGCCTTAATAAAGAATGGAACTAGCAAATGGTATGCACATGCATGGCTACTTTTGCAATATACATATCCTGATAAGATAATGGCAAAGGCTGATAGAACATAATAAATCCATTACCATGGATTTAATAGCTTCAGTGATAATTTTCCTGATAACCTGTGATATTAGCTTGACACTGAAAACCTGTACTGATGGCTGGTGGCACAGATTTAAAAAGTAGAACCTTGCTCTGTGAACTACTGACATTGAATTCATAAATGACAGCACTTACAGCTCATTTCAAGTCGGAGGAAGTCTTTAATGCCAAGGTTTTCTAGAAAAACTCCAGATAAAGCGGTGGTTTTAAAAAAGAAAGAAATGTCAGCGCTGAATTCCGCATGGAAGGTAGGAAAGTGGAGGTAAGAAGCTTCCGTAGAAAATGAGACTGCATTCCAAAAGTGCCCTGTAAAGCAGAGAAGCCTTCATGGCCGGTTTGTTTTTAATGGGGTACAAAAAAGCTTATGGGTAATTTTCATGACAGGGAGGACACTGAAGGGAAAAGGGATAAGAGGACCAAAATATTTTGTGCTTCTGTGAATCAGAGAATGGGGGATGGGAGAGGTGTTGTACTCACGGTCACCATAGCAACGCAAGGGGCCAATTCTCCAAGCAGCTTCTGAGTTTGATCTGTTGGTATCCGTGATAATTATCTGAGTTACAGGTAAGTGATCTTTGAAGGAAAACAAACCAGTATCATTTGCCCTGTAAAACATAAATTTCGGGAGGGCGGGGGTGGGGGGGAAGAAGGTTAAAATGCAGAATTCCAGAGATTCTGTGCTAAGACCCCCCTCTTTTGCAAAGGGACTTGGACTGAATGCAGTTTGGCTAAAGATGAAAAGAGCGGAACAGAAGGTCTTTTATTTTTGGCCTGTGTGAATAGTTGGAATACCAATTACAGACCCCGTGGTTTGCATACAAATACCACTAGTTTTTTTTTGTTTTTTGTTTTTTGTTTTTATCTTCTCTAAATGTGCTTTCAGGAACATAGGTAGTTTACAAATATCACAGTACCGATTGTGGTCTAGAGGAACTGAATATTCACTACAGCATTAATGTGACATTAAACATCACTTCATTTTCCTATAAAAGAAGACCTTACATCTGAGGACTGAGACTGAAAAGAGGCATCACAAATGCCTTTCAAAATTCACTCAGAGGACTTGGCTGAACCACCTGCCATGAGATTTTAATCAGTTTTGAATGTTCCTTATCATCTTTTTAGTTGTGTTAAAATGGATCTCTATAGTTAACCGGTTGCTTTTTGCTTTGTTCTTTACAAAGATCTTGCTGGTTAATGGCTCTGACTTTGTTCTTGTTAATTATGCAAATAAGGAATTATCTAGTTTTCTTTTGATGGGAAAACAAAAAGAATAGAGAAATCCAGTGTTTCTTCTTCTTTTAAAGCTGTCTTTGGAATCAAGGTTAAGATGGAACCATTTGGCAAAGCATAAAATTCGGAAGTGAAAACCTGTACTGTGCTGTTGTGCAGATATCCCTGTCAGTTCAGTATGCTTAGAATGTGTGCATGGAGACCTCAGTCTGGCTCTTCTGACCATACACAAAATAAACCTGCCCTATAGCACTCTTAATCATAGGCCTGGGAAGGGAAGATAGGCAGATCTCTGGGGATTGCTGACCAACCAACAGCACTGAATTGGTGAGCTCCAGGCCACCGAGAAACCCTGTCTCCAATAATGAGATGTACTTTACAGTATCTAAGGAATAACACAGATACTAACTGTTGAAATAAATATTATAAAAAATAAATCTTGATGGCAAGTTCACTACCTACCACAATGGTTTGTATTCCAGAATAAAACACACACACACAACACACACATACACACAGACAGCAGTTATATTGTACTATCTTTAGGCAGCACACTGGATGTTATAAGTGTGTATCATACCTTACAATTTGCATAATTGTTATAATAATGTTCAATGTATGTCTGAAAAAGAAAGGAAGTCTTTTATAATTGGACAAAAGGTGGGAACTGGCTAACCTCCACTACCTTTCACCAATAATTTCAAGTTACTATTTACTAAATTCAATTTTCTATTTTGGCTGCTCTGGACCCAGAGGGCTGCTCAACTGGCCTGGTCCCAAGGCTAGTAAATTCTAAAACCTGTCCCTGTCTGTCCTCCCCAGCTATGAGCTATTCGCATCTTTTGTTTACCAATCAGAACAAATGGGGAGGGGCAGGTTCCAAGAAGCTATGTGCAGACACTCGTGTAAGCAGGTTTTAAGGAACATAATTCACCTTCATAATACATTCAGCCACATTTTCCACTTTTTTGTTATGAAAAATAAATTAGTTTAATATTTGATTAGCATGTAGTCTTACAATCATTATGGTTTGAGAAACTAAAAATATTCCCACTTTTTGTCCAATTAAAAAAGGCTTCTTTCTTTCAGACACACACACACACACACACACACACACACACACACACATATATATATATATATATAACATAATTATAGCAATTATATAAATTTTAAGGTATGATACACACTTATAACATCCAGTCCATCATATTTTGCAATTTATAAAAGGATTCTATCATCTATCCTAACTTAAAGACTTTACAATTCTATACCTGCATTATGTTTGATTTAACTTGTAATACCATCTGAAAACCATCCTTTTAAATAAAGAACATCTTCTTTAATGTTAAATAACCGAAATTCAGTTATGAGACTATAACTAATCTTCAAATGCATCAGAAACCTGCGTAGGAATTAAATATTACCTGAATATGTAGGAAACACAAAGACATAGCTTCCAAAATGTATACAATTTGTAGAGACAGCTGACTATCCGGACAGTGCTCAATATTTCTCATAGCGTTGGAACTTTTCTTCAGTCTTTTGGCCCAGAACCATCTGATAGACATTAAATGAAGCAGGAATTATGAAGGACTAGCTTACTTTGTCTTGGAAGACCTTAGCCGTTGATTACCCTGCATCTGTGTGTCCTTTTTTGAATACTAATTGTCTGCAGAATGAAATTAGGGTATTTCTTAGCCAGTGGCAAGCTTGAAACAAATGAAGTGACTCTAATTGGATGTAATGAGGCTCAATATCTTCTTTGAAGTGGGATGGCGATACTGTCAGGAGCAGGCATGTCTCCTAAACAAAAGGTCTATTAATAATCAAATGATTTTAAACGCCATATTCTGTGGACCACTGATGCTTTTGAAGACTACCTATACATATATAGTATATCTGAACTGTTCAACCTTGACTACCCTTAGCTATTTACTATTGGAATAATATTGAAAATATTTTATTGTAATTAAATCAGGATTTAATATCACTATAAGCTTAATATCTGACCTTTATCTTGCATTGCTTAATTATCCTAAACAGATTATAATAGTACCTATTAGTAGGACTGGGTCTAAGTCTTGTATTCTTAATTGATTTGCATAGCCATAATGCCTATCTATGAGTAACAAAATTAATTTTAAATTTAGTATCAATATACAAAAAATTATACCAGTGAAAACCTTAAACCTGTATCAGTATTTAAATTCTGTATCAATGTAAGAAAACATAACTTCAATTCTACATCAAAATGTCAAGATTGCTACCAATGTAAGATTATGGCTATAAAAAGTTTTGTTTAAGAGAAAATTTATTAACTATCTTCATATATCTAATATCTTATAATGTTACTCTAGTCTTTATATAACTTAAGCAATTACCACTATTTCTCCCTTCTATCCTTAAGACTATTAAAATATATTAAATAAAATGTAGCTGCTTGTATTATAAAGGCTGATTATGTTTTCCCCAAAAAAACTGCTTACATGAGCGTCTGCACATAGTTTCATGGAATCTGCCCCCAGTTGGTTCTGATTGGTAATTAAAAGATGCTAACCACTAATAGCTGAGAAGGACAGACAGAGGCAGGTCATTTAGAATTTACCAGGCTTGGGACCAGGAGGAGAGAAGAGACCTGCCATGCTGGGAGAGTGTGGAAGTGAGGAGAGATGCCATGCATGAGTGCAGAACAGACAGGCATGGTTGCTATGTGAAGGAGCCTGTAGAGCAAGGAGTAGAGTGCAGCCAAGTTGGGCAGGCATTTGGCTCCAGAACAGCCAAGATAAAACACAGAATTTAATAAGTAGTAATTTGGAATTATCAGTGTGAGGTAGTAGAGGTTTGGCAGTGGCCCAGCTATTGTGCCACCTAAGATATTTTACAATATAAAGGCTGTGTGTGTGTGTGTGTGTGTGTGTGTGTGTGTGTGCATGCGCATCTGTTATTCAGAAACACGAACCATCGAGATGGGTAGGGAACCTGAAAATGGGATTTATTTATTAAATATTTAATTCTACAGCTTACTTCTGGATTCCACATGTACACAGATACATGTTCACATGTACACAGGTATATGTTCACATGTACCTGCACAAACAAATAAAAACATGCATTTATGTATAGCCCATACATGCACCATGAAGAACTAGAAGTAGTGTAAGGGATAGGTGTTATCCAAGTACATAGTATTCATGAATGACATTTTCAAAAAATAAACCAATGCTTTAAAAATAACAATACAAATTTAATTAAAATAAATAAACTACCACTGACTATGTAAATACTTTCAGACAGAAATATGCTAGGAACAAGTCTAATCTTTGTACACACAATATTCCTATAAGATATGTGTGTACCCACTATGTCCATTTGCAAATGTTGAGACTGTCTCGGAAGTCCTGAGGAGTTTCCTTAGGTCACAGAATAGAAAGGGCAAGAAGTAAGTCACTGTTTTGCTTTCCCAAGTATCTGTTTGATATGTTTGAGACAGTTTCTAGCTGTGTAGTGTGAGTGAGTGATATCCTTTCTGAAACACTTGGTATGATGGATGCACATATGAATAGCAGCTTGCAGAGGATTAAATGAATTTTTTCAGCTGCTGTGCCCAGTGTCTGGGTTAAATGTCCCAAAATAGTCTACCTGACATTTTAGTTTTCCTCTTTGTCCCTGAACTACTCTGTGGCCTCAGGCAAGACAATTTATTCAGAGGCATCCAGCTATGATCCTGGATTGGAGAGTTGTTGCCACGTACCACATGTGGAATATTAAATTTTAAGATTTAGAATACAGCTCATGAAATTTGGAGAAAGACACTTAATAATTTATCTAAGTTATAAATAAATGAAATAGCCACCTGAACCCTACCCCTATAGCCCTATTCAAAATACAAAGAAATACATAACATAATATCTGTAATTTGAGTGCTTGTGTTTATAATCCATTCAAATAATAAGACGCTGCTTCAGCTAAGAAGCACATCTCTGCACATTTCATACACACAGAGAATAAATTTGCCCTTTGTTCAAACATACTCATAAATAGATATTTTAAAGCAGAGTTTAAATATCTGCAGTGGAGTAACAACATAATCTAGACTGCCTGTGAAGAAACCTCAGATGCTATGTTTTGCTACTTTTCCCCATATTTTTTACACACACACACACACACACACACACACACACACACACACACACAAAGTATAAAAAAGCTCTTCCAAATGACATAGAAATTTCTATATTTAGTTTGATGATTAACTCACATTGTCAGGAATGATTTTTATATGGAAACTTTAAGCAATACAAATAATCCAGGTTACCTTCCCAGGTGATAATGTTTTTTAAAGTAAACTGGGTTTTCTAATAATAATTAA